TGCTTACAGCTGACCATGGAAAGTTAAACCTTAGCAGGCTTCACGATCCGATGCGGCTGCCGCAGCGGGATCTGGGCTAGTGGCATGAAAAAGTGGGACGGCCACGCGCGCTACGAATCTGGGGTGCATTGCTGACGGTTCCTCTTTCTGAGAGTCTTTTAATGCGTCCATGCTTTCCGCGAAGCTTTTCTTTCTTGCGTCTTCCTCGTGGCTTGGCTCTACTGCTTCCTGACTTCTCTTGGATCTTGCTACGTCTCTTCCGTACAGGCTTCTGGATCTGGGTGCTGGCCGTTTGAGCTTGTGTTTCAGTCGTTGTTGTTGTCGTCCTCGCCACCGCCTCCGCTTTCGCCGCCGTGAAATCACTTTTCGCCTTCACGATGCCCATATGGGATCCTCTCGTTCCTGCTGAACGTGCTATTCAGCGCGGTCTGGCGCGTCTCCCGCCAGCCGTGAGCCATTGGTTCGGGTATCGACCACAGACCTTACCTCCATCCCGCACATGGCTTGTCTGCATGTGGGGATTCATCGGCGCTTTTTGCGGACTCAGTACCATCTTGGCTATTTTTGGGCATACAGACTACTTCAAAAGCCGTGCTGTACCACCCATCATCGCTTCATTTGTAAGTCATGCTTTGCTATCTTCTCGCGTGCGGTTTAGGGTTGCAACGAGACAATGAGGAAGAGATGGATTTTAGAACATGGAATTGGACAAAAGGACACGACTCGCAAAGTACTGTAAGCTGACCATATTCTCCAAAAGGGTGCTTCAGCAATCCTCTGTTACGGCGCCATTGATGTGCCTCTTGCTCAGCCACGTTCTCTGGTCTTTGGCCACTTCTTCAGTGGCCTAACTGGCGTCATCATCGCCACAATTTTCCAGTTTGATCTCGAAACCGAGCCTTTTCCTCGTCTCCAATGGCTCGCAGCTTCACTCGCAACAGCCATTGCCTTGGTCGTCATGCATCTTACAAAAACAACCCATCCACCTGCAGGCGCAACAGCACTACTTCCCTGCGTCGACCCGCACATCTGGGCTCTGAGGTGGTACTACCTACCCGTGTTGCTACTTAGCTCGACTATAGTGCTGGTGAGTGCGGTGCTTCTGATGAACGTGCAAAGGCAATATCCCAAATTCTGGGTTGCGCAGATTCCGCCAGCGCCAGCTGCGGAAAAGAAAGAAAAGAGCGTGGTCGAGAAGAAGACGAATGCGTTGAATGAGGGCTCGGAGGCTGGCAGTGCGCGTGATACACTGCAGGATATGGAAAGAGGACCTTTGTAATTCATTAACTATCGTGAGTCTATGACGTTTCTCGTATCTAAGTACATGACAATCTCCGTCTCGTGCTTCTATGCATTGAGCAGCAGGTGCTGTCATTCCAATGTAAATATTAATGGAAAAAGCGAACAACATTGCCGCACGGTTGCGACAAAGGAAAAAATACTATCGACTCATTATACATCAGCCTCATTACACGTCAGCATCATTGCCCTCATAATCATTTTCGTCGTAAACGCCGAAACATAACCGAAATCTTCCAACTCACTCAAACCTGTTGCATATGAATTGTCTTTGCAATGCTCGGCACGCCCTTTTCGCTAACTGCGAAGAGGTACCACATGCCCGGTAGCATGACGCCCTGGTCGTTCAAGATAGGCAGTGTAATCTTGTCACCATCGACCTTTGGCTCGAGCGGCACACGCCTCTGATCAGTATTGACACTATGCGTGACGCTTCCAATCCGAATCAGAGAAAAGGAAACACCCTTGGCACTTCCCTTCATCGTGACTTCGAGCCGCCCACCCGGCGCAACCTTGGCCGAAGCAACCTTTTCGACAACGGGTCTCGGTGCACCGGTAGTCAGATATGGCGGCGTAAAGATCTGGCCGTTGGGATGATCAACAGTATTGCGACACGGCTCCGACACTCTTCCTGAGCCGTCGTCCCAGCAGAGTCCACCACCACCCGTAAACACCGTTCCATCCGGCAGCAAAATCGCGACAGAATGGTAGTTTCTCGGCACGACCTCCGGAGCCAGTTCGGTGAATGTACGTGTCGCCGGATCAAACAATTCAGGATGAAAAACGGGCTCCTTGTCTGTGAAGCCTTCGGCTACACCTTGACCTCCCGTCACCAGTATCTTCCCATCAGGCAGCACAACCACATTCGCAAAGACGCGCGCGTGCTTCATATCCGGTAGTCGCTGTACTTTTGCCTGGGCGCCCACCTTGTCGATTTCTATCATGTGCGCAACGCGCAGACCGGGTGCTTCGTAGTAGTACTGTGCCCCTCCCGCCGTGAAGATCTTGCCGACATCGTACATGACGTTCACACCGCACATTGAGTCGTTTTCGGTATTGCGTATGCCGGCGGGCTTGACGTCCCCTTTTCCATCGGTGTAGTACCAATTCATGGCTTTGCTGGGGCCGGCTTGGAATACGGAGCCGTTGCGCCAGGGGAAAAGCCAGGCGTGGTTGTCTTCGCGGTAGACGCCTTCGTGGTCGGTTGTCAGCATTGGTTTGACGGCTGCGCCCGGAAGAAGTTTCCACGAGTTTGACTTTGCGTCGTAGAGTTCGCCGGCTTTGCCGCCCACGGGGCCGCTCCAGGAGCCGCCGATTGCGAAGATGTTGCCGGTGGAGAGGATGGTGCTCGAGTGGTAGCCCCGCGGGATGTTCATGTTGGGGCCCGCGACGAATTCGTTGCTGAAGGGGAGGTACAGGCTGGTTTTTTCGGCGTTGGCACCGCCGCTCACGACGAGGCGGCCGTCGCCGAGGGAGCTTATGCCCGGGCAGAACATGTCGTGTTTTGTTTGTGATACTTCGCGTCTAGAGACGGTGCCGTTGACTAGGTTGTACTCTGCGAATTGCGTGATGCCTCGTTGGCCGCCGAAGGAGTTGGGAGAGAAGGCGGAGAAGACGAGCATTCGTGTGGGGGATGGGTACTCGGGGACGATGTATGCGGCTACGGGGATGATGGGGAAATCTATGACCGGACTCCATGATCCTAGAGCGTCTTTTTTATCCTGAGGTGGTGGAGTGGTTGCCTTTGAGCTGTTTAACTTCGCAGCGGCATTCGATTGCGCTGTTGTAGCGGAGACGAAACATGATAGTAGTACTGCCTTTGTGCAAATAGAAGAGAACATTGTGAATATATCAAGCGGCTGCTCTTTAGCCAAAGATTCACAAGAAAAGAAAAGAAACGAGTCCAAGCAGCTGACTGCGAGGTAAAGAGGCTGGGATGAACAGGGTTGAGATAAATCTGCAATACTCGATTCGACGTGTAGTATCCTTTGCTTTATATTCCTCGGAGAACAACTATAGAAAAAGAAAGGAAAGGGGGTCATAGTGCGGCACTCAACAACTGCCACCAGCCTCCTTATTTCCACCGTCGTTGCATGAAGACTAAATCGTGCCATTGTTATCGACGACCTAGTCCCAAAAGCAAGAAAAATCAGTTTCGAAAATCAAGGAAACAAACATGCGGTATCTTCTTTTTCGTTTATCAGTGTTAGGGGGGATGACTTTGGCTGACTTGTTTAGAGAAAAAAAAAAGTAAGATGTCTGGTTTTATGCACAAGATTCCAGAAACAAGCTGGGACCGTATGCTGGTGCTATGCTGTTACATTCCCAACGGTACAGATTACACCTGTGGTATCTCGGGAAATTCTCACGTGTCAGATACGTGGTAGGTACTGTATGGTGTATCCCTGCTCTGCCATTGGAGATGTGGTGAAGGGGAAATGCATGTAAACAAAGAAGATCGAGCAGTAGGACAACGCTCATCAGTCTTTGGAGGACCACAGATATGTGTGTGAGCGCTGTTCTAAGGCAAGGATAGAGAAAGGTAGGAGACGTTGTCATATAGCCTGAAGCTTGATAACGGCTAGTTGGAACTAGTAAAAAAGTAGTAAATGCTTCGTGAGCGATCAGAAATACTGCATTAACAGCATATGCGACTATCTTAGTTTTCCATACCAACAACTCCTAGTCATGACAAATGAAGTTCTGTTTGGTTGCTTCTATTTGTTCTTTTGGGTTGTTTGCCTTTTTTTTCTCGCCTTATTTAATGATTGTCTCGGCGACTGAAAACAGTTCTAGACAGTTGGAGTGACGGAATAAAAATCAACATTGGGCGAGAAAGGCTCTGAGAGTCTAGCGATTAGCTGCTGCTACTGCGGCGCTCACACGAAACACAAGCACGCTCGCGACAAATGCACGAATTCTATTATGATTATTACGTATTGAGGCAAGAATCTGGGCTGGTGTGGTCAAAAACACGTGAGCAGTACCGCTTCTATAAATATTCGTCACAAAAGTCTTATTGGCGCTTGTTGTCGGTAATCTGTGCTGTGCGGCTGTCTGAATATTGTAAGTTTAGCGGCACTGCGTAATATGATAGTTTCAGCGCAACATTTGAGACTCGAGTACGTATGCTCCCGTGTCTTAGTCTACACCTACCTAGAAATGGCGTGTTTGTACATATATGTTGTTCTTCAAGTAATGCTGGGATGTAATCTATCAATCATCTTTACTGGATGCGAGCTTCTCGTGCCTGTTGGCTGTAACATGAGTCAACAAACAGCCTTACGCGATATACGCAGGTTTTGAATGTATCATAAAAGGGGGTTTACGATAAATACGCAGGTTTCGACTGTTTCCATAAGCGGCTTTACGAAAAATACGCAGCTTTACGAGAAATACGCAGGCCCTGAAGGCGCAGCGCCATAGGATCAAGGCATCTGGACGAAGGCCCCGCTTGTTTGTGGCTGTGAGACTGTGGGCTTTTCCCTGCGACAAACCGACAGCCAATCACGTCCATATTTCCCCGAACCCCCGTGTCATTGCGCATGCGCGTCGCCCTTGCCTGCATTACAGGCTTCTCATTCTCGTAGTTCCAGGAGATTGCCGATCGCAACAGTCTCTCTTTATCTTTCCTACTCTCCTATTATTCTTGTTTTATCTTTCTCTCATTGTACACTTTTCCTTAGCCCTGTAGTTACGCCATGTCAAGTTCAAAGGGCCCCGCCCCGGGCAATGACGTTACTACTCGCGATACAGCCCCACCATCGCAGCAACCATAGTGAGTATCGCCAGTTTTAAAAGGAAGCCATAGTTTATGCTGACATTGTTGGAAGCGAGTCTTCAAGCTCGCGGCCAAACGTCGATAATGCACACATCAGCAACATAACGTCACCAGCCGTTGAGGAGCCTCCCCCTGCATACAGCGAACTTCCAGGCCAAGTCGAAAACGAAGAGCTGGGAACAAATGCCGTTGTAGCGGATGATGGACGTGTGAATATTCGAATAGACCAAAAGAGCCACACCCTTTCGCAACTCATTCTTCCACAAATCCAACGTCAGCTTACGCATGCGCAAGAAGACCCTGAGCCTCCTCCGCCTTACATTCCAGAGTTTCTTGGCGGTGCGCCAGGCCAACAGCCACCACCTCCACTCAACCTCGTCATACAGGTTGTGGGGTCGCGAGGCGATGTTCAGCCCTTTGTTGCCCTTGGCAAAGTACTCAAGGAGACGTATGGTCACCGAGTACGATTAGCAACACATCCAACGTTCAAGGAATTTGTAGCCGAAAATGGACTCGAGTTTTTCAGCATCGGCGGTGACCCGGCTGAGCTCATGGCCTTTATGGTGAAGAATCCGGGTTTGATGCCAGGCTTTGATACATTGCGCAGCGGTGACATTGGCAAGAGAAGGAAAGGCATCGCAGAGATTCTGAGTGGAACATGGAGATCCTGCATAGAGACCGGCAATGGTCTTGGTGTGGATCCTCTCCAGCAAACAGTGGAAGAGTGGATGGGCATAGAAGAGCAGCTACCAGAGCAGCTTCGAAAACCGTTTGTTGCCGATGCCATCATTGCGAATCCCCCAAGCTTCGGGCACATACATTGCGCTGAAAAGCTAGGGATCCCACTACATATGATGTTCACGTAGGTTTGACGACAGGATCATGATGTGCACATACTGAGTTTGAAACAGCATGCCGTGGTCACCTACACAACAATTCCCACATCCACTCGCCAACATCCAGTCTACAAATGCGGACGCTACAATTACGAACTACATGTCATATATCATGGTTGATGTCCTGACCTGGCAAGGTCTTGGAGATGTCATCAACAGATTTCGCAAAGATAGTCTTCGCTTGGATCCAATCAGCGCTGTCTGGGCGCCAGCTATGCTTGCAAGACTCAGAATTCCCTTTACGTACTGTTGGTCACCAGCACTGATTCCGAAACCAAGAGACTGGAATCACCACATCTCGGTCGCAGGCTTCTACTTCCTCAACCTTGCTTCCAATTACACGCCAGACCCGGATCTTGCATCGTTTCTCGATGCAGGAGAGCCTCCTGTATATATCGGATTTGGCTCAATCGTAGTAGATGACCCAAATGCCATGACCAAGATGATTTTCGACGCCGTCAAGATTACTGGAAAACGAGCACTAGTGTCTAAGGGCTGGGGTGGTCTTGGAGCTGACGATATTGGAAAGCCTGATGGTGTGTTCATGCTTGGAAACTGCCCCCACGATTGGCTATTCAAACGCGTCTCGGCTGTTGTACACCATGGCGGTGCTGGTACCACAGCAGCTGGTATTGCTACTGGAAAACCTACAGTTGTCGTACCCTTTTTTGGAGACCAGCCCTTTTGGGGAGCCATGGTAGCACGTGCCGGTGCAGGGCCTGACCCCATTCCCTACAAGGACCTCACTGCGGAGAAACTCGCTGCGGCTATCATGGAGGCGCTGAAGCCGGAAACACTCGACCGGGCGCAGGAACTTTGCGACAAGATCAAGCAGGAGAATGGAACTCAGAGTGGCGCTCAATCCTTCCACCAGATGCTCAATTATGATGACTTGCGATGCGCAGTCAAGCCAAGCCAACCCGCTGTATGGAGAGTCAAACGCACAGAGGTCAAGTTGAGCGCCGTAGCAGCTACGGTACTGGCTCAAGAAGGTGAAATCAATTTCTCCGAGATGAAGCTGTAAGTCCTTTTTTGATCTGGTGGTTTCCTTGATTGATAGTTCTAGCTTCCGTCCTCGTGAATACGTTCCGGATGAAGGTCCTTGGGACCCGATTACTGGTGCCGCGGGAGCTTTGATGGGAACGGCAACTTCAATGATGATGGGTGTTGCCGACATGCCTATCCAGACCCTTAAACTTCTGCACATACACCCCGATAGCAGGTCTAAGAAGGGTAAACAAAAAGCAGCAGGAGGCGAATCCACTTCTCAAAGCAATGGGAATGACAGTGGAAGCATGGCAAGAAGTGTGGTAGCTGAGACTGAACGTCCGAGTCGAAGCGGAAACACGACGCCTACAGCAGCTGATGCCGCTGCCGAGCTGGCAAGGATCCAAGCCAGTAACCCGGCAGTCAAAAGTCCAGGCTCACCCGGTACGCCTTCACATAGATCTGATTTTATGTCTCAAGCATTTTCTGAATCTACTCAAGGTTCGCGTTCGCGCTCTAGAGAGCGTGTTGGCTCCAACGCGGGATCGCGCTCGGTCGCCGCTTGTAGTAGCGGACAACGACCTGGAATAACGGAGAATATCGAGTCTACTGTAGATACTGGAAAGGGTTTGGCACGCATTATCAGTGCTGGGGTTAAGTCACCTATGGACTTTTCACTGAACGTTGCCAAGGGGCTCCATAACGTACCGAAACTTTATGGAGCAGAGGTTCGGCAGGTTGACAAGGTCACTGACTTTCAAAGTGGCATGCGCACAGCTGCAAAGGTACTGAGAACATGGAATTGTTCGTTTGGGCTTTGCTGACGTTGAAACAGGAATTCGGGTATGGGTTGTACGATGGCATCACAGGTCTCGTAACCGATCCATACAAAGGTGCCAAGAAGGAAGGCGGTATCGGCTTCGTCAAAGGAGTTGGTCAGGGTATCATGAGCCTGCCATTCCGTGTAATGGGCGGTGCATGGGCAGTACCTGGTTACGCAATGAAGGGCCTTTATCAGGAAGCGGTCAAGAACAAGGGACAGAATGTGCAGAACTATATCATCGCTGCACGGATTGCACAGGGCTATGAGGAAGCCTCAACAATTTCTCAGAAGGAGCGAGATGAAATCATTGCGAGATGGAAGGGTATGAAGGGCACCATCAAGAAGAAGAGGAACGTTGGTGCTGAGCAAATGGACTCGCTACATTCACTCGTGCAGCAAAAGAGAGACCGGAAGAATGAGCGGACGGCAAGGCTCACTTCACATGCCAATGATACCGGCGGTCAGCCTCTTATTCAGAGTAATCTGGCTCAGCAAGATAGTCTCTTGAGCCAGTATCCTGTTCCGCCTAGAAGGCAGGATGTTGAACCCGAAATCCGGTCTACAATTCCCAGCTGGCGCCAACAGGAAGCTGAGAGAACACGCGCTCTCCGGCGACAGGGCACGTCTACTACTGGAAGTCAGATAACCGCCCCGCCTGAGCAGACACAAGCCGAACTCGAGGCGCAACTCAAGGCCGAAGAGGAAGAGGACCAGCGTGAACTAGAACGAGCAATCGCAGCCTCTGTCGCTGAAGCATCTCGCGGCAACCCCGAAGAAGACCAGTTGATCGCATCAGCCATCCGCGCCTCAATCGCCGAACTTGAGCGAACCGATCCATGCACTAATCCCACCCAACAAGAAGAAGAGGAAGCAATCCACCGCGCCATGGTGGCTAGCATGTCGGAAGCCGGTAAAAAGGACGTGACGGAAGAAGAGCAAAAGATGCTCGAAGAGACATTACGCCGCAGTCTTCTCGAAACAAAATTGCCCCGCAAGCACGGCAGCGACTCAGAATGGGATTCAAACTCTGATGATACGGACCAAGACGAAGATTACCAACGCATCATCGCAGAGTCAAAAGAGCTCGCCCATCTTCATGCTAACTACCCAGAAGACTACGCTCATACCGCGCACCTTGCACAACTTGCAAAGCAGCAAACAGGTGTTGTGGGTAGCATTGACAGCCCCGTAGATGGCCAAAGTACCCGCTTGGGCAGTATGAGGACAGGTAAAACTGATCGCACTTCTCACATTCCTGATGAAGACGAAGACGAAGAAATGAAGCGCATACTGCGTGAAAGCGAGCAAGCCGAGCACGAACGCGCGGAGAATGCAGCGAAGCAAAAGACAGAGGAAGAAGTCGTACTCGAGTACGTGCGCAAGCAGAGTTTACTCGAGGAAGAGCACCGACGACGGATGCTGGAAGCGGCTGGGAACGCCGGGTCGCAAGCGTAGCTGGTTTGTACCAGGGGATTCCAGTACGTAGCCCGGGACTTGAAGTCAGGGAAAAAAAGGGGCAGGCGGTTTCTTAGAAACGGGCGTGGATGAAGACGAAGTTCTTGTAATGATACCCTAATGCCAACAATTCCATCTATCTCTCTTTCTCTAAATATATACACAATCTTACCCAGGCGCCGATCCCAAGCCAGTCAAAACCCTCAACCCCCAAGCCCACCACCCCTCCCTCTCCCCCAACACCCCATCAAGCTCCTGCAACCTCCCCTCGACAAACTCGACCTGCCGTTCAAACTCCGCCACCACATCCTCTACATCCTCGACTTTGCCCCTTAGGGCACTAATTTCATACTCGAGCTTATCCCGCACATTCTCGAGTTCCCGGAGGCTGGTGGTGAGTAAAGCACGGTTGTTCGTAACCATAGCATGTGTATCCTCGCGGAGCGAATGATACGTATCGAGTCTCGGGTAGTAAATCGATTCGAGAGTCTCTATATCCGCGTCTACGGATTGCGACAAGGCAATTATCTCCGCGAGACGTGAATTGACCCAGTCCTGGTCTTTTTCCGAGACCTGAGCGAGGGTGTGGTGGAGGCGTTTGAGTTGGGTGGAGTGCATGTTTTGGAGGGCGGAGCGTGCGGTGAGGGCGGTGACGGAAGAGGGGTCGAAGTCTTCTGTGGCTACTAGGGCTTCTTCTTCAGAGAGAGCGCTGGTGCTGGGGTTGATGGGGGGCCAGCGGAGGATGGATTCTTCGGCTGTGCTAAAAGAGAGGTGACGGGGCCACCAGTCGTTGTGGCGGGGTGGGCGGACAAGGTCGAATTGGGAGCCGGATTGGGTGCGGCGGAGGAGAGGGGGGATGATGTTTGCTTCGGAGACGGGGAGGCAGGTGAGGTCGATGCCGTGATAGGTGGAGCCGGCGAGGGAACTTGTTACTGTGGGAGGCTGTTCGGGTTGTTCGGGCTGCTCGGATGTGTCGCTTTCGACTATCGAAGTGCGTAAGGCTGAGGCGTGACGGCTACCGACTGATCTATGGTTATGAAGGGAAGTAGCGGATTCACCTGGTGTCTCAGTGAGGACTTTGGCAAAGGCGGGTTCTTCGCCGGCCATGCTCTGGGGTGATGTGATTGAATATGGGTCGTCTGAATGGCTCTCGTACTCAATGGATGTGCGAGAATCTGTGTATTGTAGCGGCACACTACCACTTTTGGTGCGATGTAGCCCATGTCGTCCGTGTTCATCTCGGGAAAGCTTGGTGGCGTGGGTGCGAAGGCCAACAGCATTTTTGATATGGTGAAAACCGCCAGACTCTAGCTTGGCTTTGATGGCAGCTCGCTTCGAAGAAGGGTCTTTGAAGTACTCCTTCTCCAGGCCCTCTGGAGTAAACACGTCTGCCTTTTTTATTTCCGAGGAGCCAGTATCGCGCTTTGTTATGCCTTGATGATCTGTTGTTGATTCTTGACGAACGGGTTTGGGTGCGTGTTGATCGTGCTTGTCTGGCGAGCTTGATCGTGATTCTCCGCTAGGAAGCCGATCAAACATGCTGTCGCCAGATGTTGTTTTCTTGGGCTTTCCATGCCACAGCCACTTTGCATGCTCACCTCGGACTAGCTCAACGAATTGGTCGATATCCACCGTCTCAACTTCAGCGATGCCATCTTTTTGGCCAGCACCAACAATGCCCATGACCATCTCGCCGCCCTTGCCTCCTAGCTCGGCAACAGTAGACTTGAATGCTCGCGGGACAGCCCAACCTTCTTTACGCGCTGCTTTTGCAGAGGATCTCCGAAGCTGCTCAAGAGTCTGCCGATCGAGACGGCGAGTTCTAGGTAAGTGATGAGACTTTTGAAAATGTGCAATGCCGCGCTTGGTAGCGTCAATATCAAAAACATCTTTTGCTACTGCAGCATTGCAGGCACTCAGTCTGTTACGAGCGCCCATCAACATGCCTAATAAGGCAGCGACGGTTGTTGGACCAAGGATGCCATCATGAGGCTCTACAGTATAGTACTCTGACCCAAAGTCTATCCACCAGTCATTGATTGCTTTTTCCGTCAAGTCGCAGAGCAGTCCGTCGGCATACTCTGGCTCGAGCTTTCCAAACAAAACAAGTGCTATTTGACAGAGTTTGACCAACTCAATGACGGAAGCATTAAATGGAATGCGATCACTTGTGCGATAAAGTTGCTGAAACTTTGCCTGGGTAGCACCACTAGGGGGCGTGAGCTTGATGCCCAGGCGACCAGAACATCCTAATCTCTTGAGGTTTTCATTCACAACAAAGGCTTCGCGGTACTTTTTCACATCGCCTCCAGGGATGGGAATAACAGTCAGGGAAGAGGGAAATCCGCTGAGATTGGTGATCATGAGGGTGCCATAGGGCGTTTCCTTTCTCCGGGCATAGCAGTCGGCGAGAGACTTGAAGTATAGGCGCATTTGGGGGGACCATTCATCCTCGTTACTGGGTACGCTTATAATGGTGGCCAAGACAGAGTCTTCGGGATTACCCGTGTAGGTGGTGATGAGGTAAGTGGGGTGGGTGCGGGAGCAGGCCCATTGCTCGACCAAGTAGATCTCGTAGCCCTCGATCCTCTGGCGGCGGGCAAGGACGTGGCATGTTGTGGCAGGGTCCTCCTCAAGGTAGCGAGCAGCCACCAAGTCGGTCAAGACGAAGCGCTGATGGGTCGGAGGTGAAGCAGGCGGCCGGACCGCGGCTTGTTCCGGCAGCATGTCGGCGATGGGAGACTTGAAGACTGCTTGCTGGGGACGCGACTGTGCTGAGCTCGAGGGGTGGATTGACGTCGTCTGCAAGGGCGGCATCTGCCTCCGAAGCTCTTTCTCGGTGTGCACCCGCGACGGGGGCACTGGCAGGGGGAAGTCCATTTTTTAGGGCGATTTCAGGTGTGATTTGGCCGACGAACTACCAGGTGCTGCGGGTGCGAGCTCGTCATGGTAAAGGGAGGCGCAAGGTCCCGCCGATGGCCGAGGTGGAAGAGAGGGCACAGGACGTGTCGGAGGACCCTGTGAGCATGATCCTACGTGCAGTCTGTAGTTTTTTTATATTAGGATATCGCAAAAGACCCCGAAGCTCAGCGAGGCTGGTGTACACATACGGTTCCTACTTCGGGGAGAGTTGATGATTAGAGCCATGGATGCGCGTGCGGAGGTCGGCCCTGCTCCCTCCCCCACACGTCATGCGGCGAGCGCGACACCACCAGCCCATGCCTCAACCACCACAACGGCCATGGACAGCACTGAAGAGTCCCTCTGGCCAGACCAACCCTCTCCACTCCATTGCGACCACCGATTCATTGCTTCCAACGCCCACAGGCCATCTTAACCGCCATCGTTTGCCAACCCCGGCCCTATCAACACCATGGACGACCTCCGCGAGCAGGTCGAACTGCTGGAGAAGAGCGCAAACCTCTCCGCCAGCATAGATCACGTGCAAAAAGCGATTGATATGCTCACTGCAGCTCGTGCTAAGATTGCAGCGGGTGAGTGCCCTCGCATCTCCTGTACAGCAACACATACTGACTACAACACCCGGACAGATCCCGCGACGGCACCCTTGACACTCGCGAGACTCCAGGACCCCTTCAAGCAATCCCTCGACACTGTACAGAAAGATCTCAAGCCCATATACTCGGGTTTGAACAAATACGGCAAGGCACTTGACAAGGTATGCTTATCCTTCACACTGGCCGTCACTATCTCCATGGCTGACAGCACCTCTCAGAAATTCAAAGACAAGCCCCTCCCCTCTGCCGAAAATGACGCCCTATCGTCGCATCCCTCGCTCATCAACCGTGCCATTGCCATGCACCTCCTCCGCGAGGGTCAATTCGACGTAGCCTCGACCTTTGTACAAGAAGCCAGTCGCCAGCCGCCACGCCCAGAGCCTACTCCCAACACACCAAACCCCCACATACGCGAGTCCTGGGAGAGGGATCTAGCAGAGGGAACCTTCAATTCAGAAGAGCTGCAACAGAAGTTTGCCGAAATGTACCACATACTACACGAGCTGCGCGTTCAAAGGAATCTACAGCCCGCCATACAGTGGGCCCGCCAACGCAGCGCCGAACTCGAGGGTCGCGGCAGCAATCTCGAATTCGAGCTCTGTCGTCTCCAGTACATCTGTCTCTTCGACAGCCATAACCAACACAGCGACACCATGGACACAGAAATCCCCATCGGTGTCCTGAACGCCTGGGCCTATGCACATCGCGAATTCCCCCCCTTCCATAAGCGCTACGCCCGGGAAATCCAGCAGCTCCTCGGTGCAACGGCCTTTTGGCCAAACGTCAAAGACTCGCCCTACTACCGCCTCTTCTACAACGACTCCGCCTGGGAAGAAGTCGCCCACTCCTTCAACCGTGAATTCTGCTCTCTCCTCGGCTTAAGCGCTGACTCGCCCCTCTTCATCGCCGCCACCGCTGGCGCCATCGCCCTCCCTTACTTGCTGAAGATGCAGTCCATCATGAAGGAGAAACGCACAGAGTGGACAACTCAGGATGAATTACCCGTCGAGATTCCGCTGCCCAGCCAGTACCATTTCCATAGCATATTCGTATGTCCGGTCTCAAAGGAACAGTCGACGGATACGAATCCGCCCATGATGATGCCGTGTGGCCATGTTATTGCGCAGGAGTCGCTGGATAAACTGAGCAAGGGGTCGCGGTTCAAGTGTCCGTATTGTCCGAATGAGAGTCATCCCAGGGAGGCGAGGAAGGTCGTACTGTAGTGTGGGTATGGCAGCAAGTATCCTGTGATCCCCTCGTGAAGCATGGGATAGTTGGCGTTTTTGGTGTCTTAGGGTTGGATAGGATTATTTATGCCTTTGATGGATGTCGACGTCGCTCCTTGATGATGTCGAGCGTATGAATACCAATTATTTTTGTTCATTCAGTGGTGAAATTGATTCGTTTGACGGGGAATGAAATGGAGTGGAAAGAACACCGATTATACAAAATAAAGGTATGAGATTAAGTCACTAGGACAATAGGTATGCCTTCGCGCCCAAACATCCTTACACAGGCCTGTACAGCCACTGACCCGGATGGAAAAACACATCAAACTCGACTCCCCCAAACACTCCAATCGCAGCAAACAAATCACACTCCCCCCTTAGTCCCAGATTGCCTCCCTCACTCCTAACATCCAACTCCTCATTCCCATCCCACTCTCCCTCCTTGACCCCATTCCTGGTAAAGAAAACCTTGATATCCAACATCTTCCCTTCCTGTCCCCCTTGATACGCCGGCGGATTCTTCGGCACCTCAAATGTCATGCCAATCCCCACCATATCCCCTGGCTTAAACGCAGTCGTAAAATCATTGCCACCCCACGCATCATTCACATACTTTCTGCCATCATCACCGTGGACACCCAAGCTAGCGCGTTCCCAGCCCGGGAGCCGGAAGGTGGGGTACGGAGGGGCGACGAACCCGATTGCGATGCCAGCGTCTGCTTCGGAGAGGGAAGACGAGGCGCCGTGGCCTATGGATGTGACTTTGAGCTCGAAGTAGAGGGTTCTGGGGTGGTGTGTAATTAGGGGGGAGTCAGTGAGGGCGCTGTAGAGGGGGAGGTTGGACAGGATGCTGGAGTCGCGGCAGGAAGGATAGGTGCGGATGCGCCAGTGGCCTGCGCTTTGTTGAGGGAACAAGTCTCCGGCTAGGGAGGGGGGTTTGAGGAGGGCGAGCTGCGCGTTTTGGATTGCGGTGTAGGTGCTTGGGTGGAGGGCTTGAGGGGGCCATAAGGGGTGCGCTTTTGTCCAGGCGAGCGCTCGGTCGCCTTCTTCGGCTGTGGCGTTTGCCGTGGGGGAACTGTCGTAGCCCATTGAGGGGGGAGGAGGGAGAAGCGCGGTGTCGGGTATCACGGTCCAGTCGTGGTATGGGGGTGGATCCCAGCTTGGAGGTGGTTGCTGGGGGTATGAAGGAGGTGGACCTGGTGGTGCCGCGTAGCCTGAAGACTGATGACCTGGTGGAGGCCCAGGAGGGGCTGTGTAGGATGACGAAGATGCTATATTGTGGTTAGGTGGGGGCCCTGGAGGTGCTGTGTATTCGGGCTTTGATGAAGAGGCCTGGTTTGGCGGGGGACCAGGAGGAGGCTGGTATTTCTCTGTTGATGGTTCTTGAGAATGTTGATAGTAAGGATTGTTTGATTGTAGATTGTGCTGATCTGTTCCGTAAGATGGCTTTTCGTCGCCTTTTAACTTGTCTTTGAGTTTCTTGAACATAGTATAGGCAAAGGTGGCGTGGTATTTGGGAAGTCTAAGACCGCCGCCGTGGTACTAGTCGTGGCCCTTTTATTCTAGTAAGTATGGAATGGAGGCCAGACCCAACTCGGTCTCTCAGATGTGAATGACTTGGAAAAGAAAACACAATTCAAACAAGGCGGCCTGGTGGTGATAAAGGGAAGTTGATTGGTGGTGGCTGTGCAAGTGACAGTCGTTGTTACCTGGATGGTGTCTTACCAAATACGTCATCGCGGCTTGGCGGTGCCTTTCCTTCCTACTCAGGTCTCGGTGTTACACAGCATACATCCTTTACTATTTATCGAGGTATACTTCGCCATATTCCCTACCGTATCTGCCCTCCAGATGATTTCACTGGCACATCAAAGACTCAATCCCTCGACCAGTCACACACAGCCGTGACACAAGCATCAAGTCTACTGAGATCTTGTAACTAAAGTTTGCAACATTACTGAGCCTAGACTAGAGTACTACAACAAGCAAAGGCCGCCTGACGAGTCATTACATGGCTATCCTCACCGAATCGTCACTTCCTTGTAACCCTTCTCATTCTCAATATCGTCATCAATGCACACCCCGATAATTTTATACCGGTCCATGACGTGGTCGCGACTAATCAGCAAATTCCCCGAGCCGTCTGTTGGAATATACCCGTAATCGCGCATTTGAGCCATGATTCCATGCGCAAAATCTTCTCTGACAAGGGCCCGTCCCGTAGGCCATGGTATCTTTGGAATCACGGGCTCTCTAGGCCTCAGATTCCTACAGGAGGCTGCATACGACCTGTAGGCTTCTACACTTCCCCCGAAACCTAGCAGATCAAACGTGTTCCCTACGACACCGATCTGTACCAGTCCACGGCCATCTTGAAGGGTGATACGGTTGTCGGAATCACGATTGCTGTGTGTATCACCTAAAGAGCTTCCTTCGATGACTGTAAGTGCCTCGAAAATCATTGCAAATGGAGCAGTGATTGTACAACCGCAATTCACCCGCACTTCACAGGAGATCTTCTCTGTATTCTCGTTCCATAGCCGAGATTCGAAACCGGTAACGTCGACCATGCGGTAGTTCACCGACCTGTTGTGACCTCGAAAAAATCCCGGCGATGGATCCTCCCAAGTGGTACCGCTGACGCATCGATCTTCCCATTTTGTGGGTTTCGCACATGGATCTGTCATCCTCCAATTCGGCCGTAGCTTTTGAAGCAACCGTCGTCTGTACTTAACATAGTTGCTGCTCGGATCCATGAGGCTTGCCAGTATGGTCGCGCATTGAACCAGTATCTTACCAGTCTCGTCTTTTACCACATTCATAGGTTGGTCGTTGGTTTTAATAAGCTCCTTGGAAACCCAGCCCTTTTTCAGCTTCTTTCCACAATTACAGCCTCTGAATATGAAGCTGCAGCCCGTGGTTTCGGGGTTTGGAACCAGACGAATCTTCATGTACTTCTTCGGACTCCCTTTGACTCCGGTCACTGCGGCAGATTTTGCCTGGCCTTTGGCTTTCAGCCTTCTTAGACAAATGACTCCAGCGAAACAATCTGTTGTGGGGCTGCCGCTGTAGTTTTCAACTACAGGAATCCAATCCCACTCTCCTCGCTCGCGGCTACTGATTGCTAGTTTGGTCCACGCCAGATCCGTTTTAATGGAAAGCTGTTTGAAGAAATTGAATGACATCTTCTCCATATCTTCTCCCGAAAGCTGTGTCTCAATCTCTTCACTGGTAAACAATCCGCTGAAAATACCCAGAAGGCCTCGGAATATATCATGCTTCTTCCCGCAATTTCGCGGGGTCAAGGAAATTGCTGAAAAGACATTTAAAACACCGTCTTTGTTGTCATGCCACCAGTTTGGTCCTCCATTGATGATATCAGTCCTCGCGCTGTCAATGCCTTGGACTTGCTGACGGAGACTACGCAGCGTCCACTCATCTTCTTCAATGACTCTCAGAACCGCCTCAATGGTTGCGTTCTTGACCCATCTGGACTCACGAATCCACTCTTGCAGCTTGAGTGCCGAATCCAGCGAATCCATGGCAAGAGCCATCCACGTATGGAGTTCGCCAATACGCGATATCTCCTGGCGATCTATTGCCCACATGACAACGTTCTTGCCAAGAATCATCTCTTGGAACGTCCATACCCGTGTAAAGTAGGGATTGTGGAAAAGCGACTGAACGTGGTTGACACACGTGGCATAGCAGTTTAGCACACCCATATCGATTCCGGATGTTCTGACCGTCGTATTTGGTATTTCAAACGCCCAGGTCTTATCTGCCCACTCCTGGAGTCGCGTTCTCTGATCCAGCATGAGACCCGGCGCACCCGCCGCGAGCGCCGATCCTGTCATATGCGACCGAACGTGATCGAGAAACTTGAGATCATCCACAATCTGCTGCGGATCCCACACAACAGGCATATCAAGAAGGATATGGCATCTTTCCGCGCTCTTGTAATACTCAAACATCCGGGACAGCTCGATAGCCTGGTCTGCAGGCGAAGTCTGCTTGATGCATACGCAGTCTGCCCACAGGTATTGAATGTTTCCCGTTATCATCAGCCTCTTGATGTCCTCCATCTTATTTTTCGCTATTGTCAGTACCCAATCCACGCCTGTTATACCGCAGTTCCATTCTTCTTCTGGTGCACCCCAGGTATACGATAAAATGTCGAAACTTTCAATGTACACGTCGCTGGAATTGACAACGGAGAACTGCCCGTTAATTTGGCAAAGCAGCCTTGTGGGGAGATACGAAGCCATGATGAAGAATTTGGATGCTCATGCAATTGCTGCTTCGAAAACAAATGACTGGTCAAAGGAGCATGAGGATTCAGTCATTACTGAACCCGAGGGCGACGCGAGATTTCATACACATTGCTGCCTTCCAGCCTCGTCGCCGAACTGCGGTGGACGCGGCGCTTCTGCATGTCTTGGTATCATGGTGGTCGCTTGTGAGTAGGGGCATGATTCGTGCGGCATGGTGACGGGCCGTGCGGGGCTGCATGGTGATGGAGCAAAGCTGGAAAGAGGACAAACCCCCTTCTTTGAGAATACAGGGCTAAGCGAGCTAAAGAGTGAAGATGGCGTTGGTGCGGCTGGCAAACCTGACGATTATGATGCCCCTGCTGGATGACTGGATACATCTTACGGTTGCGCAAGATATACACAGCCTTGTATCGCCCACACCACCATGAAGGCTGTAAGCATGTTTGGCGACGCCGGATCTCAGGACGTATGAATCGTGGGCGGGCCGATCCAAATTATGCAGAGGTTGACGATTTGGGTTGTGAGTTCCCACCCCTTGCCAGCTCCCCGCGTGACTGGAATCATTACCAGGAACGCAAATTTGGGGGCGAAGACGGCTTGGAGCGTTATCGGGACGATAAATATATCAGGCGACAACCAATGTTCTTTCATGAGGATATCACGGACACAAGGCCGAAACATGCAATTTACAGGCGCTTAGGGGTGTGATTGGAGTTGTCTGCAGTGCCAAGATACACGGGCGCTAACGATAGGCAGATGTGTTTTGAGACTGAGTAGAAGACTGGCGTATGTAGATTTACTGCTGCTAAAAAATGGGGAGGGTCTATCGCCCTTCTTCACCGGTATCAGGCTTCTCTTCCAGCAAATTACAGCCTTGGGCATACACCGATTTTGGCTCACAGTGCTCCCATTACTATATTTTTTAGGGAGAGCAACTCGCTATGCTTGTTCGACAGGATCTCCGTTGACATGTCTACTTCAGCCAGTATCACATTGTAACCTTGGCAAAATTTGATTTTAACATTAACTTCTAAATGAATTTTCATTAAAGATATGATATACCCCAACATTCACACCCAGTTCATTTCCAACATGATAACTTCCCTCATGCCTGAGGTTCATTGAACGTTCTTATGCAAGGGCCGACAAAGTACATAAGATACGGTATGGGGCCCCACATGGGTTGGCCGAGGCACCCGTAGGAAAAGGTAACCCGCCAAAGACTTTAATTGCCGGATCGAGCACCCGAGATGCTGGTGCATACTTCGATCACTGGATTCCATCCAGTTAGATGGAGTCTCTCGATTAATCGGCAAAACTGTAGAGTTTTTGTCAAACACCAAGAGTAGCCTTGTGCAGTACGGGATGACAGCACCACCACAAGGCTATTACCGATGTTCAGATCATCACATGGTGGAATTGAGTTGGGCGCATTGATTTATATCGCACTGTTTCTATGAGTTTCAAGATCGCTGTCAAATGCGTACATCGATGCTTGTCCTGTAGTGTCGTCCTACCAGCTATCTTGGAGGGTACAACGTCTGGTAGGTGGGGGCTCTCCGTTTTGCCGACGGGGCAGTACTCAAGGCGCGGAAAACCAACATATATAATTCATCTACAAATGACTATTTGGATACTCACATCAGATCACTAACCTTTCCTTCTTCTCCTTTGACTTCTTACCACCGCTGTTACACTCCAGTCCGACCTATACTGGCAATACAACGTAATGGCAACAAACGGCACTTCATCCACCTACTCGATCCCGCGCGAGGCACGAAGCCTACTCGACAACGGGATCTTGAAGAATCCCCTCATTGCTCCCAACCTTCCTCAAGAGATTGAAGAATGCGCAAAGACAATTAAATTTAAAGGCAATGATGCGCCTAGTTTAGCCATCAACTGGCGTTTCGCCGAAAGCATCTCTGCCTTGAAAGGCCTAGAAGCCGCCATGGTAAACGTCCTGCTAAAGAGAAAATACAACCTTGAGCCGCAGGAAGTCGAGATAGACACGTGAGTCTTGTGCGAACTATCCATTCATACCACCACTGAACTCCCCAAAAGCGACCACGCCCAACTCTTCTTCATGTCCGGCTTCCTTGCCGCCATCGACCCAGACGGCGAAAACATAAACTTTATCAGCAAACCCCTGTCAAAAAGCAACAGCGCATACGACAAATACTTCAAAGACTGCGACAAATACGACATGCTGCGGAATGCATACCGTACATCAGCCACAAACATCTATCGATGCAAGGACGGCCGCTACTTCCACACGCACGGCTCCATGAACCCAGATCACACACAAGATTATCTCGGCCTACCGCACGACATGGACGTCGCAACTCTCGAAGCCCCATGGGCCCCGTACGTCGAAAAGATAGCACAGATAGACTCGCACGAGATGCAGCGTCTCGCATCCGATGTCTCCAAGCAAGCAGGCACCATCTGCTGGACCACCGAAGAATTCAAAAACAGCGAGCACGGCAAGGCAAACGCGCACGTCGGCCTTTTCGAAATCCACAAGGTGGGAAATGCAAAGCAGCCGCCCTGCTGGTGGCCAGATAGCCCGGAAACGAGTCCTCAGCGTCCGCTGGCCGGACTCAAGGTCGTCGACTTGACGCGGATTATCGCTGCACCAGTTCTCACCAGTGGACTTGCTGAGCTTGGTGCATCCGTCATGCGTGTTACCGCTGAGCACCTAGCAGATATCTCGACACTGCATGTTAGTCTCAACTGGGGAAAATGGAATTCGCACCTCGATTTCCGCCGTGAAGAAGACCGCGAGAAGTTGCGTGCGCTGGTGCGCGAAGCAGATGTCGTGGTCCAGGGATATCGGCCCGGTGTCCTGGATAAGTACGGGTTCTCGGTTGAGGGCTTGTTGGAGTTGACGAAGGAGCGGGAGAGGGGATTGATTGTTGTAAGGGAGAATTGCTATGGGTGGTATGGGCCCTGGGCGTATCGGAGCGGGTGGCAGCAGGTTTCTGATGCGTGCTGTGGTGTCTCGATGGAGTTTGGGCGCGCTATGGGGAATGATGAGCCTGTTACGCCGATTTTCCCCAACAGCGATTTTTGCACTGGTGTTGCGGGTGTGATTGCTGTGCTGAATGCGGTGCTGAAGCGAGGGGCTGAGGGTGGGTCGTATCAAGTTGATGTAAGTTTTTTTTCTTTCTTCTTTCTCAATCGTGTGCTCAGAGGTTGATGTTTCCAGGTCGCGCTGAATTACTACTCCCAATGGCTCGTCAATAGCGTTGGCACGTACCCGAAAGATGTCTGGGAAGATGTCTGGACGCGCAATGGACGCGAGGTTTTCCGGCACTATCATAATATTCAGTATACGCTGATACATTATATGAAGATGATCCAGGCCAATTCCAGCACTATACTCTTCAATCCAGACTTTTTTGAAGTGCGGCACTCGGGGGCTATTGGAAAGGATATAAAGGTTGTGAAACCGATTGCTCAGTGGAAGCAGGGCAAGGTGAAGTTGGGATTCAATGTGGGGGCAAGGGGAAATGGGGTGGATCAGCCGAGGTGGCCAAAGGACTTGATGACTGAGGTTGTAGCGTAGTGAGTCATCAACCTGTGAGGGACAGTGTGTAATTATGAATTGTTTGTGTTTTTCTCTATGAACACTTCTTTTTTTTTTCAAAAGCAACTGATGAATTTCACAGAACTAAAGCAAAAACTTGAAAAAAAAATGTTTTGGAGAAGTTCCGGAGAAGACGCAGTGAGACATAATACTGCAATCTCATTTACATCCATCTCGCAATGACAACCACGATCAAATTTCAACCCGATGACAAAACATACTTCTTAACCTAACCTTGCATAGTCCCATAACGATGACTACAAAGAGAAAAAAAAGATTTCAATATTCTAAATCTTGACTCACACGCTCATACAAATAACACCCTCAACCCTTCCTTCACCACTCCCAAAACAATCTCATCTTCACCATCCCAACAACCTCGCAACCCTTTTCTCAACCTCCCCAACCCCAATCCAACAATGCTCCCCTCCAAAATCTCCACCGACCGCCTAACCCTCCTTCGCCTCACAACCACCTCCCCATCGCACCCCCACCTCCACCTCTTCCACGAAAACTGGTCCAACCCCACCGCAACCGCGTGGTCCCTACGTGGTCCCACGCACTCGCTCTCCGAAAGCCGCGAGTGGATGCAAGAATCCCTCTCCCGCTTCGACAACTACTTCTACGCCGTCTTCGCACATACATCCCAGCATGTAGGTAATGGCGAGAAGGTATGGACCATGCGGGACGTCCGAGTTGAAGATTCGGCGGAAGAGGGAGGAGATGAGGAGGAATTAGGAGTGCATGTTGGAAGTGTGAGTTTGCGGCTTCAAGCAGATGGTCCTACCTTACCTCCTCCTCCTCCTCCCCGACAAACTGGTCCCCACGATCTCGAAGAGGAGAAGGAACGTGGAGAAGATGATTTACCACTTCGTGCACTGGGGTATGCCATGTTTCCTGAAGCATGGGGGAGGGGTTACGGGACTGAGGCGAATCGCGCCTTACTCGATGCATATTCCGCAGCCGTAGCAAGGCAGAGTGGGGGAAAAGGGAAGGGCTACGTGGAGGCAGCGGTGGATGACGAGAACGCAGGGAGTTTAGTTCTGATAAGGAAGTTGGGATTTGAATGTGTGGGGTGGAAGGAGAGTGACAAGGTGTGGTTGAATGGGGGGTGGAGGGGGGGATATTGGGTGTATGGTCTCCACCTCCCACTTCCCTCTAGAATAAGCCATTAAGAAAACAACAACAAAAAAAAGGGGGGGGGGGATGGATATAATATCTACACTTCAAAAGAAAACCCCCACCTACCCAACAACATAACGAAAAAAAAAGAGAAAGAGGAACAAAAGGGCATCTATTCCAACATCCTACTCTCCCCATTCCCCACCTCCGCAAACCTTACATCCCCCACCTCACCCTCGCCCCCAACCTCCCTAATCGCATCCTCAACCCTCCAAACCTTGCGCCGTAGGAACCAACTTACAAACCCTCCTCCCTTCTTAACCTCATCATGCGTGCCAACCCAATACTTAGCCTTTACCAATCTCTGTGCCAGAACCCCATTCTTCGCACCAAGATTCAATTGCTGAGCCGCACTAATCGAAACGTCGTGTAGCCCATGCAAGAAAGCGAGGGTATGCAGTGGTGGTTCAGCCGTAGCAATGGGTTCAAGGGCGGTATGCGGGATACCATGGGGGGTGTAAATGACGCATTCGGCAGCCTCACTAGTAGAGGAAGAAGAAGGGGAGGAAAAGTCTTGTTCGGCGCCGTCGCCGTTGATGCTGAGTGTAGATAGGCGTTTTCGGGGTGTGGAGCTGGAGAGGAAGGGGTGCGTGGAGAAGGTTATCAGGAGGGCGGAATGGTAGAATAGGGCGTCGTTGGGGGCGGTGAGGCGGGAGATGGAGAGCCAGGAGGGGAGGGGTGGGAGACTGTAGTCGTGCCAGTCGGCGGTGGGGGGGAAGGTTGGGGTTGTGATTACGGTGCGGAAGTGGGACCAGGAGGAGATGAGTTTGGCGGCTTGCTGGGGTGGTATTAGCTTCTTTGGATTCATCACATGGGGGGAGTTGTTTAAGAATGGAAAGTAATGTACCTCTGTTGCGAAGACAGGGACGTCGCCGTGGACTTCGAGGAGCGTTTCTTTGTGGCAGTGATCGGTGAATTCATGGCTGATGGCTACGCAGTCGACATAACTCTCTTCATCTTCTATGGCCTCTACTTTTCGCTTCCGGCTCTTGCCTGGTCTGAAGCCTCCGGCTAGAATCTCGACTTGTCGCGCTAGTTCCTCCACTTCAGATATGCTCTTTACCGCGCTCTCCGTCGCGTGCCATTGCTGGCTAAACCACTTTGCGACATCGCTTTGCCCGCCCACGAACCACGGATCGATCAGGATGTTGTAGTATATGCGGGCGCCATGCTTGACTGCGTTTGCCGGACGGGGTATTTGAAGAAGCCAGGAGGTATCGGCGTTGAGGTGGTGGAGGATTGGGCGGCGCGTTGCGAGAGCGCGAACAACGGCGTCGCGGATCTCCAGGTGTAGTTGCGCCGAGGGCTCGTCCATGCTGTGAGGGGTCTTCTCTTCTGTCTGAGGAATATTTGCGCGCAAGGAATTTCAATGCGCTGGCGTTTGCGCACACTCAAGGCGGCATTTCGCGTGGACAAGGCTGTTAGAGATAGAGGTGGGAGGCTGGGGAAACGCTGTCCACGCGAGTGGTCCATGACGCGCGCACGGGTAGAGACGTCGACACACCCACAAATGAGAAGTCAGAAGCACAGCATCTTAGATTATAGTTTTGAGGTGGCTGTCTTTACTTTCATCTCTCAAGTTAACACGACTGAAGTTTGGTCTTTGATTTGCCAGCGATGCTGTGATAATAAATGCATTGTACAAACGCTTCTTGTCTGAAATCAACCAACGACGTTGATAAAGTTCAAAAGCATATGGAATGTCTAAATCCGTCACAACAAACAAGAGCGAAACGCACTATCAAACCAACATACAATCCAGGACGCTTGCAAATGAATTCAGAAAAAAGATGAACTTGATATATTACATATGACAACTAAGTCAATGGGGCCCTTATCATTGCTATTTCGCATTAACCACTCCTCTCATCCGTAATTGAACTCAACTAAACCAAGGGGTAAGGGGGCAGATAAAAACGCCGTGTCATGCAATGCTTAATTTCGATGGGCAAACGCAGGAATCCTTCTCTACAAAAACATTCGAATAAATCACTCGCTGGGATGTTGGGGAAAGGGCGCCAATTTTGGTAAGGGCATACGTATGGAAGGGGTGAAAACGTAACCTGTTAGTTCAGGATCGAAGGGTAATGTGGAAAAAAAAAAGCCTAGATAGGCTCAAAAGTCTGCCTGGCATGTACAACATGTACAGCAGCCTTGAAGTGAAGTTTTGTCGCTCAAGGGGAAGGAACCGATTCGGTGTACTTTGCAGCCATCTCTACTGCAATCTCAGGAGACTTGACAGCAAAGATAACCGACTGCAGTCCACCTTCCTTTGCAGGCTTCGTCGCCATGACCATCTTCTTGCTGGAGCCGGTGACAGTAGCTGGGAGTGAAGGCAGGATCTGATAGTTCAGAGGCGTAGCACCACTTGGGATGCGGACACGGACAGAGCACTTAGCAGTCTCCTTGTCCTTGAGAATCCAAAGCGGGCCCTTGGCAAGGTTAACCCAGGCCTTCTCTCCATCCTTGTCCACCTGGTGCTTGGCAAGGACGACATCAGTGTGGAAGACAATGTCGTACGTGTTGAGCTCTTCTTCGGTGAGTTGGGAGAGGTCGATTTGTTCATGCTTTTCGCCATCTTCATCCTCTGCGGCCGAGGCTGCACTAACCTCGCCAGCTTCAGACAGGGGCGTGCCGGCACGTGAAGAGAAGACTGAAGAGCCGATGGAGTTGCCACCGGATGGTGCAAACAGTGATGAGCCACCGGTTGACGAGGCAAAGTTGAAAATGGAAGAAGGCGGTGGCTTCGCCGGCGTTGTCGATCCTTCACCCGGCGATGGCGTGGCAGGCTGGAACTGGAACTTAGGGGCATCCTTCTTCTCCGTAGCAGGAGCTTGTCCAAACTTGATAGGGCTACCAAACTTGAAAGTTTGATCGCCTGCAAATGTGTCCGACTTGGGCGGTGCGGTCTTGGATGCTGCATTAAAGTCGAAGAATTGGAAGGGCTTGTTGGTAGGCGTAGTAGTTCCGTTGGTCGCCGCTGTAGAGGAAATTCCATTGTTCTCCTTCTCAGACTCGGAGTCGTTGTCACGGGTGATCCTGGCAAGAAGGCTTCCCTTGGTGCTAGTATTTGGCTGCTTTTGCTCCTGCGCCCCATCCGACTCTGCCTCAGATTCTCCGAAATTGACTCTCGGGGTGGCTGGCTCTACAGACCCTGCAATCTCTTGTTGCTCGGCGTCATCTTCGTCGGATTCATCCTGGTTGTTCGAGGAAGGGCCCGAAGAGAGATGACCGAAGATGTTGGAAGACGGAGCTGGAGAGGCGGCTGGGGCATTGAAGACAGACTGGCTACCTGTGGATGGAGCAGGGCTAACATCCTTGGGAGTGAAACCGCCGGACGTAGATGTACCGCTTGTAGGCTTCAGCAGACCAGAGAAAGGGTTAGATTTCGGGGTGCTGCCTGATGGCTGTGCATCTGGCTTAGCCGAGGCGCCAAATGTGAATGTGGGGGTGGCAGCAGCCTTCTTCTTCTCTTCAGCACGGCGTTCCTCTTCAGCTTTGTCATACCTGGCAGACCATTGCTCTTCAGTTTCCTCGTCGGAATCGTAATCTTCTTCCATGGCCTTCTTCTTGCGCTCGGCAGCAAGCTCATCATATGTCTTTGCCGTCTTGGTAAACTGCGCCATAAAGCCACCTCCACCTCCCGAGGTACTGCCAAAATTAGGCTTGAACCCCGTCGAGCCGGAAGTGCTGCTGGGTGTGCCGCCGAACGTAGGCTTGAATCCGGACGAAGTGGATGAGTTGCTTGTACCGTTGGTGGCTGGTAGTGAAGGGGTGAAGCCAAAGCTAGTAACGGGTGCATTTGCCTTGGCAGGTTCTTCACTGGACTTCTCAGCCGTCTTTGGTGCAAACAAATTTGTTGATGATGTAGATGAAGTGGAAGGTGTGGAAGGCTTGTTGCCAATTGCCTTGGCAAACATGTTCGATGTCGCCGTTGCTGGTGGGTTCAGCTTTGGAGTAGAAGCAGATGGTTGAGGTGTTGGGCTCGAAGGTGTCTCGGCTGGACGGGATCGCTTAATTGGAGAAGGATCACGGGCTTCGACGGTATCTTCATCGGCCTTGCGCTTGGTGGACAGACTGGACTCAGTTCCAGTGACGCCCCGGCTAGCTGCACGTTGCTTTTTGGCGTTGTCAATCTTCTTCTTGATGTCGGTAGAATGCTGGTAGTGCCAGAGGGACACACTCGACCAGTCTGCCGTAGGAGGGAGAGTACTAATTTGCTGTCGGTACTTTCCGTTCAGAACTTGAAGTTGAGCAGTCAAGTCTGTGATTTGCTTCAACAGACTGTCGCCGCTCTGCGCGCGAACAACACCTGGAACAGACCATTCTTTAGGAACGTGTACCTTGGGAACCTTGGGCATCTCTGGTGTTTGCTGTGATTCGTTCGACAAGATGGAGCTGCCGGTAAGGTTGGGCATGGCCGGTGCAGGAGAAGCTTGCGCAGGTTCCTTGGGAGTACTGAACAGATTTGGGCGATCTGTTGAGGGAGTTGAAAGGGATGCAAACGGATTAGATTTTTCAGAAGGAGATGCCGCAGCGGGAGCCTTTGGCGCCTCTGTTGAAGAAGTTGCAGACGGAGTGAAAGATGGGAAGCTGGACTGAGGCTTGCTGAACAGGTTGCTCGACTTGTTGACCTCGGACTGGAATGTCTGAGAGAACAAACCGGAGCTTGTCTTTGGTTGAACCGCGCTGAACAGTCCACCTTGTGACGTTTCTGTATCGGCGGTCTTCGCCGGCTGTGGGGTGCTGAAAGGCTGGAATAGACTCGATTTGGGCGCTTCAGGAGCCTTGAGCGTTGCCGAGCTTGAGTCCTTATCTTTATCAGTTCCAAATAAGCTAAACCCAGAACTAGTGGCTGCTGGTGCAGCAGCTGGAGGTGTAGCTGGCTTTGCAAGCGACGCGAATGGGTTCGACTTGGGTGTCTCTGGTGCAGCAGTGGTGGTGGACTCCTCTGGCTTCTTAAGATTACCAAACAGATTTGCTGCAGGGGCTGGAGTCTTTTCTTGCGCCTGAGGCGTCTGCGATGTTGCTTCGAATCCTGGGAATGGAGTAGATGCACCCGCTGCAGTTGGGAGGTTTGCAAAGGGGTTGTCTGCAGGTGTGGAAGCCTTGGCGATTGGTGTAGCCGAAGTGGAAGCTCCGAATAAACCAGTAGATGGTGCCGAGGATGTCGCTCCGTCCGTCTTCTGAGCCGACGCGCCAAAGTTGAACAAACCTGATCCAGAAGCCGTAGCACTTGGCGTGCTCTGTGCACCTGTGTTTAGACCCCCGAAGATATTATTTTGCTTGGGTGCCTCCGTAGCAGTATCAGTCTTTTGCGCGTTTGAACCAAATCCACCAAACATGCTAGTCTGGGATGCAGCTGGCTCTTTGGGGGCTTCTTCCTTTTGTGCATTCGCGCCGAAACCGCTGAAAATGCTATTTTGTGCCGGTGGCGCCGTCTGGGTAGAGTTGCTGAAGCCACTGAAAATGCCGCTCGTTGCTGGTGTACTTGTAGTGTTCTGAGCCGATGAACTGGTAGCACCAAAGGTGAATGGTGTTGAGGCTGGAGCAGTGGTTGTTGGAGCGTTTGCAGCGCCGCTGGTAGTGCCAAACAGGCCGCCCGAAGGTGCAGCACTCGAGGTACCAAACATGCCACCAGAGGGCGCGGCGCTTGATGTACCGAAAATACTGGTGGACGGGGCTGCACTTGATGTGCTGCTCTGTGCTAATCCGCCAAAAGGATTGCTTTGTGCTTGTGAATTGCCAAATATTGATCCTCCGAACGCGGGTGCGGGCGCAGGCGTGCTGCCGTTTGTCGCAGGTGCCGAGTTCGCAGTCGCAAATGGGTTGGAACCTCCTGCCGTGAAGTTGAAACCCGCGGATGAAGGCGGCTGAGGATTGAAGCCTGTGCCTGTTCCTGAATTGCTGCCTCCAAATGCTGGAAAGGATGAACTGGAAAAGGTAGTACTTGGGGCGGCGGGCTGTGCAGGTGGAAAACTGCTGGTCGCGCTAGCGCCACCGAAAGCATTGTTTCCTCCAAAACCCCCAAAGGCATTCGCGCCGCCGTTCGCAGGAGCAGGTGCCGAGGCGCCGAAGTTGAAGCCATTCTGTTGTGGTGCGCCAAAGTTTGCGCTCTGTGATAGACCCTTTGCGCGTGTATTAGCGAATGTCATCTTTCTGCTATGTGTTTCGCGCTGTCTCGCGGCATTAAGTCGCTTTGCCAACATGCTTGCGCAGCGATATGAACGGGGAGCGGAGGCTTGAAATAGACGTCGAAATACTCACGGAAGAGGCGCCTGCTGGTCGTCGGGCTTTCGCGGTTTTGATTCTATTGGAAAAAAGCGTCAGCTTATCATATACAAAGCGCATCATCGCGACACAGACTCGTAGGAAAGTCGTGAAATGCATGCCGGGAGATGAATATCTTACTTTCGTGCGGCGAGCTGGGCTGCCGTTGCCCGCTGAGGGACATCTGCGGGTTCGTCGCGCTCTTCGTATGGACGCTCAGGCTTACCCTGGCCGAAGATGTTGCCCCTCTTATTGGTCGACATGGTCGCGATCACTTGGGGACAGAAAGTGATGGTTGCGGTCGGAATGGGGTTTGGGCTACAACTCCATGAGACGCGTGTGGTGGGTAGCGCAGGTTTTGGGATAGGATGTTTTTGGTGTTCCCTGCGACCCGTGCTCGACGTCAGGGAGGCCTTAGTCAGCCGCCTAGCAACGAGACTTTATTGACTGCTAGCGCAGGAGCCCCTTGTCCGCGAAAGAAAAAAAAACAGACACTGCCACTGCTTGTCCATCGGAGAAATGTAGGGCCTCGCTTGAGCGTTCATCGACATTGCTGACATTGCTTTTTCCTTGACAAGCGAACGATGCAGCATGGACTCGAGGCTAAAATTTTGCAAAATCGGTTGAGCAATGTTTTAATCAATGGTAAATTGTAGTGCAGACATGTCCAGCCCCAACATGCGCAGCGGGGTCAGCACATGCTTTGATGCTATTATTATAACCAAAGTTTCGACACAGCCCTTGGAAGGCGCTCTTAGTTTGCTCTTCAGCTCAGCGCGATAATAGAGTTGGTTGACAGAGGATACTAGGGCGATGGGTGTTCCAAAAAAGATACATCGTGTTTCGTTAGTCATTATGGCGTCATCCGGTCAGAACGATGTCCTGATCCTTGTATCTACCTACACTGGCCCACTGCAGCAATCATAGTGATGCGTTCTGCACACGCTCAAACTCAACAGCACCGGGGTTGCGTTGGTGTCGTCATCGGGACCCTGTTCTTCCATGGTGTTCCCTGGCATAGGTCATGGTTGCTTCAGGACACCCCACCACCACGCGAGCAAATAGTCGCGAATACTTGCGAATAACGTCACGTGTTAGTCGCAACAGAATACCAGTCCCAATTCCCAACGCGAACTAGAGGCCGCAACGATCTACAAGCTGCCGTTCAGCCGGTACTGTGTTTTGATACTAAGGGAAGCGCCATTTCGGTTTCAGAGGCTATACTTGCACCACGCCTACCTACCTGCACTACCCAAGTCTGCAAACAGCTCGTTAGCTGCAGAGGAGCTGGCACATGTTGTTGCGGAGTTTCAGGCCATTTAATGTCCGCGGCGAGATACGGCCATATCTACTTGAGTACATGGGCCGTGGGGGGTAATCAAAGAGAAACTTGCTCAAGTCTAGGCCTGCGGGCAGAGAGCCTCATCGTGTGCAGAAGCAATAGTTGGCGTAGCAACAAAATGTGTTCGGCTCCCGTAGACATGTGCTGCGGGGTACTGTCTCACCAAGCGGTGGTCCTGGTCCAGACGCGTCAGAAGTGGTTCTCTGCGGCTGTGGCAGTGGTTAAGAGGCGTGATATTGATTGGGTGCGCACTGTTGGACAAGAGGCAGTGTGGGGTATCGAGAAGCGTGTTTCAGGAGGCAGAGGGTGGATTGATGGCGATTGCAATTGCAACCTGGTCTGTCTGCATCGGTTGGTTGTAGGGTGGGTAGTGGACCGGACAGACGTGAGTCGGTGTGCCGTGTGCTCGACAAGGAAGACGTGGGAGCCCCTCTCCGCGTGGGGACGGGTTTTGTTGAGGATGCCGGCGGGAGGCATAGTGTGGTATGGTATGCTAGTAGTAGAGGGGTTGAGGGCGAGGGTGGCTTGGACAGGGTCAGCCTTGGGTAGGAATGGCGGGGTAAGGCGAGATCATGCGCCGCAGAGATAACACAGCTGATGAATCCGCTTCTCAGCACCCTGCGCGCTGCGGAAGGGTTCATGTCCGAGGGCGATGGGCATGACGGCGAGTCGGGTGGGAGCATCGGCATCAGGCCAAGTCGCGGCGTCTAAGCGATGCATACGAGGCAATGGGGCGTATTGTATCTACAGCTGGGCACCTGACGTCTCATGATTACGCGCGGTTCAGCACCACGACTACTACTTACGCAGCCTGGTGTTGGCCATGATGCTGTGCCACGCAGCTGCGCAGGCTGGGAGCTGGGCAGGCGTCGCGGCGGAGAGGCGGAGAGGCGGGCTCGGGGGCAAAAGAGGAGGCGGGCGGCGCGTATTGCTATGCTCTCTGGTGTGCGAGCGGTGAGGATTGGATGGATGCCACAGCCACTGGGCCATGGTCGTGAGGGTGACTGTATCTCTGCGGCTTATCGAACGGCGACTCCGCTCCAGCCGGCCTGCTTGTTGCATCCCTCCATCCATCCCTCCATCCCACAGCCGGCGCCACTCTGGCCTTGCTTGACCTTGCCTTGTGCTCGCACCCGTCCCGCGCATTGCATTTAAGCACCGGACGCCCCCATGATGGCGCGCGTGCTGAGTGGTGATGGTCGATCTCATCACTGGCGGCACCGTCATCGATCCCCGTTGCTTGTGGCCTAGCCGCGTCCCGGACTCAGTGGGCATATCTGCTTCCACTTCCATCCCATAGCATTACTAGTACAAGGCGCTCGGGGCCGAGGCAGCGCTCGAGGCAGTCCAGCATCCCAGCGGGCCCGCCAGCCAGGAGACGTCTAACGGCCTGGCAAACCATCCAGCCTGCCTGCCTGGGTGAATGCGCCATCGACCCGCGTCTGCTGCTGCTGCTACTTACTACCTTGGAATTGCCCCGGATTCATTCCCACCGTTCCCGCCCTCCCACCCTGGGCCCGACACCGTCGTTTCGTCACTCATCCATAACCCTCTTCCCTTCCTGCCTGCCACGGAACCATTCGGAACACTTTCGTCTTCCAACTTGGCTTGGTGATGCCACACCCTTTAACTGCTCCCAGCCTGCTGTTGCCCATAACCCCAAAACACCCTATAACCCGCCTACACTGACATGCTTCGATAACACCCGCGACCGCCTCCCTCTCACCGTCTCTCGCCAACCATGTCCGCCAGGCATGCGCGTCTGCACAAACGCGGCCATTCGGCCTCGGCCGCACCCAGCTCCCTTAGTCCCGTCGCCGACTATGGTGCCTTCACCTTTGACCGCTCAAACACGCCAAACGTCTACGAAGAGTCCTGGATCGAACCTCAACGCCCCATGCCTGCTGCTGCCTCTGCCCACCCGCTCAAGATCAAGCCCTACCTGCGCAAGCTCTCTTCCAAGGAAACCAGCGGTCTGGATCTTTCGCGACCTGCTGCTGAAAACGACTTGACGGGGCTGGGCATCCTAGAGTACGGCGCCTACTCGCGTTCCATATCAGAAGTCAACTTCACGCCCGTCAACCCTCGCAACCGACACAGCCGTTCCACCTCCAATCAATCACAGTACTCGGCTTCCTCAGGCCCCCGACCGACTCCTTTGCCTTCCATTCGCCAAACACCTCAACTCTTCTCACCGCCAATAGCAGGCTCATCGCCCTCGTCCATCCTAGGAAGCGAGCTTGAGGGCGATGATATCATGTCTGACGACGAAGTTCGTTTGAAACAGAATTCGTATGATCCCACACGTCGATCTGGGTCCATGTCCTCGGCACAGGGAACATCCCTTCGCCTCCACACCAACAACTCATCCACTCGCCTTGCTGCCACCTACTCCCAATCCACAGCTTCGCTCACTTCCCCCACCGGCCCGCCAAGGGCACGGGGTGACACGCTCAAATCCATTGACACAACCACATCACCCAGCTCCCGCACCTCGTTTGACCAGGCTTACCGCTTCATACGTGGCGGTCGCGACTCGCCTGTGGATCCCGCGTCAAGAGCTGCATCCATCCGCGCTGCACGACAAAAGTTTGAGCAAGAGCAACGAGCCAAGGAGCTAAAATACGAAAAGGATGCACACAAGCAGCAGGAACGTGACTACCGGAAGCAGCTCAAGAAAGAAGACTTGCAGCGGCGCAAGTCCGAGACTCTGGACCGCAACGAAATGAACCGTACGCGCACCACATCCGACGAAAGCGAAAAGACACCTAGACCCTCTGTTGGTGGCCGACCCTCGATAGGCGGGCGTCAATACTCGGATCACCGACAGGCTCACTCGCACTCGTTGCCCAAGCTCGTAACTACCGTTGACCCGGAAAAGGCAGCCATGAGCGCCGTACCAAAAGTCAGCAAGAGCCGTGCTATCAAAGGAAGATGGCTCAGATTTGTTACCTGGCTCAAAACGAGGCTGCTTCGCCTATCGGGCAAATAGGGGGTTGTTCCAGGTCGTCTACTTGCATGCAGTGCCACGCATATATGCAGCTAGCGTTGCCTTACTGTGTGGGCCTCCACCTGGCACCGCCTACTCACCGACACTCCATCACCTCAGTGCACACGGCCACCGACGGCACCCTGGAAATCACACGCGGTGTGCACTTTGCTTTTTTATACCCCATCTTCAGTTATACATATTTTTTTTTTACATTTTTCCTTCTTTAGCACGGCGTAACGATTACGGCCTTTGACGACATATGCCCCCACCAACACCCATGCTGCATATCTCGCGGGTATTGTTAGGGACTCATTCTTTTGGCAGGCGCATTAGCAAGGTCTGGCTCCAAAGGAACCACCTCCTCATTTTTTGCATATCTTTATCCTACACAGGCGTTGGAAGCTTTGACAAGCACTCGTTGAATCACTGCATGCCTGGCGGCACAGCAGGTTAGATTAAGTTTGGAGTTTGGGTTGTTTATTTGTTTCTAGTCTGGATAACTCGCTCTGGCTTCGGTCATTGAGCTCGCAATTGCATTCTGTTTGCTCTCCATGTGTTTGTCTCGTCTGCAAGTGACAATGACCAGTGCGTTTGCTTCAAACTGGAGGCTGCACCGTGACGTTTGTGTATTCTAATCAAACCAAAGTTTCATGCAAAACAAAACATGCATCAGCTTCTCCACGTCGACATGGATAAGATCATCGGTTATGGTGACAGGCTGCCTGCATGAACAGGGATCTGCAGCATCGGAGGCGGACTTAAGCTTGTCTTGGCACCGCTGTCATCATCCGACGCTTGAGACTCGCCATCGCGTTCCCCGCACCCGTTTCCCCGACAGCCCCGACATGAAACCACTTTCTTCATAACCGCAATGCCTCTACGAAGCCTGCCGCGCGGCTCAATCGCGCTGAGAAGTGCGCGTCCGAATGCGATATGGAGGCAATGCGGAGCAAGCGCGCGTGTGGGCGCAATGGCGCAAAGACGATGGGCGAGCGACGACAAGAAATTGGGAAAGGATGAAGAGAGGCCTTTCTACCTCCAACTAAACGAGAGCATCTACGAGCGTGTACAAAAGGAAAAGGCCGAGCAGATTAGGATTCAGTCGCTGCAGCAAAGAACAGCACGGGGTCAATTCTTTGCGACCGTCTTCGGTATTGAGCCATTGCATTTTTTTTTGAACACTGGACTGAACTGACTTGGAAAAAAACAGCATGTCTCCTTACCGCAAGCATAGGCTACTACTACGGCCAATTGATACCACCCAAGCCAGACACGAGCTCTACCGCACCACTCGAGACCTTTGTTCCTCCCAAGCACAATATTTCAGAGGCAAACATGGAGGCGGCCTGGACCGACTTCCGCGACATTGTAGGAAAGGAAAACATCACACTGGACAGGCATGATCTCGAATCGCACAGCGGTTCATCGTGGTCTTCACATCCCTCTTCACCAGGAGATGTGCCGTTTTGCGTTGTGAAGCCAGGAAACACTCAGGAAGTCAGTGCCATCATGAAGGTCTGCCACGAGCGAAAAATTCCCGTCACACCATACAGTGGAGGAACAAGTCTGGAGGGGCATTTTGCCGCAACAAAAGGAGGAATTTGCATCGATTTCAGTCGCATGGATAAAATCGTAAACCTACACAAGGAAGATCTGGATGTGGTTGTTCAGCCCGCTGTCGGATGGGAGCACCTCAACGAGGAGCTCGCCAAGGACGGCTTTTTCTTTCCACCCGACCCAGGTCCAGGCGCAATGATTGGTGGTATGGTTGGCACAGGTTGTTCAGGTACCAACGCATATCGCTATGGTACGATGAAAGATTGGGTCGTGTCGCTCACTGTTGTGTTGGCTGACGGAACAATCATCAAGACCCGGCAACGACCACGAAAGTCTTCGGCAGGCTATGATCTTACGCGCATGTTTGTCGGAAGCGAGGGTACCTTGGGTCTAGTCACAGAAGCTACTCTGAAAATCATTCCCAAGCCCCAGCACACCAGTGTAGCCGTATGTGCCTTCCCATCCATCCGCGCCGCAGCAGAATGTGTCTTCAAAGTCGTCGGCGCATCCGTTCCCATCGCCGCCATTGAGATCCTAGACGAAGTCCAGATGCAATGCATCAACGACGCTGGCCAAACGGCAAAAACATGGAAAAACGCACCCACGCTCTTCTTCAAGTTTGCCGGTACCCAAAGCGCCGTCAAAGAACAAATCGCCCAAGTCCAAGCCCTCGCCAAGAAGTCTGGTTCTGTAAGCTTTGAATTTGCCAAATCTGAGCAAGAAAAAGAGGAGCTCTGGCAGGCTCGAAAAGAAGCCCTATGGAGCGTCATGGCAAAGGGAAAAGGCGACCCCAACATCGCCGTCTGGACCACCGACGTTGCAGTCCCTATTTCCAAACTCCCGCAAATCATTGAAGAATCCAAGCAGAAAATTACTGAGAGTGGATTGCTGGCTAGTATCGTCGGTCATGTCGGTGACGGAAATTTCCACTGTAAGTTTTTTTTCCCTCCCTTTCCCTCTCCTTCCTCCCTTTATTTCCCACTTCTTCTTCTTCTTCTTCTTTTCTAACACACGTGTGTTTTTTTTTTAAAAAAAGCTATCATCCTATACGACCGCACCCGCGACTTCAACAAAGCGTCGCATCTCGTCCACGAAATGGTGAAACGCGCTATCGAGCTTGAAGGTACGGCAACGGGCGAACATGGTGTCGGCATTGTCAAACGCGATTATCTACCCCATGAGTTGGGTACTGAGACCGTGGATGCTATGAGACAGCTTAAGAAGGCGTTTGATCCCTTGTGTCTTTTGAATTGCGATAAGGTTGTGAGGGCGGCGAAGCCGGGGGGAGGGGAGGTGGCGGAGTGGTAAGGGGGTGTGTAGATGGATGTAGAATGGAAGTGAATGAGAGACTATTCTTTCTCCTCTTTTCTTGGCCCATTTTATATATATATAAAGTCATGTGATAATGCTCCCTGTGTCTCTCTCTTTGTTATTAAATGTTCTGTCAAAACGGTAAAAGTGCTTCCCTTATTCAATTCTGTTTTTTTTTTGGTTTTTCACCTTTCCGCCTATTATATTTGTTTTGCCTCCGCCATTCATCGTTTTGTTTTGTTTTGTTTTTTCTCAACTTCTTTTCATGTACAGAGTTGGAATGAGAAAACAAATTCCGTGGGTAGACTGGTATAAACGGATCCTACTTTTCAGGGTTTCTTTGGAGGGAGAGGGGGGGAGGGGGGTTACTGGTGCTGATTCAAGTATCTGACGTGCAGAGAATTTTTAGTGTGAGTGAGGGTTGGGGGGAGGGGGGTAGATACTGGGGAGTAAGAGCGGGGTAGTGTAGAGTGGTGTGTGGTATGAATTGGGGATTGGGAGGGGTCTGATGTGCGGTCGGGGAGATGCTGGATTCAGACATGGATTTTACAATTTCCACGTTGTAGGATGGGGATAATCATGCTGCGTCACTATTCAACACACGTTTTTAGAGAATTAGGCTGAGGAAAGTATGTGGTATTCCAATACAAAGACGAGATTTGCATACTGATCGAGGGTCTTTTTTTTTGTCTTATACGGAGCGTCTTGCTGGTATAGATGTTTACTGTGCGACTATCATATTCGATGACGGTGTCGAGGAATTGCATCTGGATAACAAGTTCTTTCTTGATAATTACCGCAACGAGTGTACATGTTCAGATGAGAAACGCAGTACGCGCCCATTACTAGACAAGAAGTTTTTTTCTCACTAAGAAGGTGAGAAACTTTGGGTTGTCGATTCAAAAACATATGTACTTCTCAATCTATTCTCGAGGCTATGGACGATGTTGTCACTCCCGATTCACTGGACAAGAAATTCTACTGACTGGATACCATGAAGTAATATAATTTCTGTATTGTTTATTCTATCTCACAAATCCCTTATTCATCCAATCGCATTGTCTCATTGCTTTTCAACGATCACAAAGAACACGTCATCTTGGACCATTGTACTGACGTCGAGCAGCCACACACAAGCCCACCTTCCAAGCTCTACTGCTATCGACGCCAACACGCAACATCGCACCGGATAAACGGCTCTTGATTAGCCATTCCGTACGAACAAAGTGGAGAATCGCATGATTGTTGGGCGCGCCCTGAAAAAAGCCACTCAATACTAAATATGGCGCTACACGACGCAGCTCAGCCGCCCACGTCACTCCCCCATATTTCACAGTTGCCACAGGCAACTCAACTAGGGACTCCACTACACCAACGACATGGGTCTTGTCGTGTTTACTCGAACGATACATAGACCTTGGTTGCTTAGTAACTCCAGCGGGAGAGGTGCAGACCCACCTTCTATTGAACATCGGCGTTGGAGTAGTATCGGCGAAGTAATAGTGTACCATACTTTACTTAGTGATGCCATCTATGCAGATGACTGTTTCTTCTGTTTCATAGGCTGTGAGCGTTGTGGAGGTGTTCAGCCACCAGGACCACGTCGCAATGAGCTCTGTAGATTTTCGTGACGTGGAAAACTGGCCTGGATTCGATATTTACTAATGCGAATTCGCATATATCGCCTGATCCAGCGCTTTACATTGCTTCAGAAGGAAAGTTTTCTCCGGCCCTAACGATATTGGGACGACGGTGGTGCTGATGCAATGCGCTTGCTGTGTTTGAGGGGAGGTTGGTCGTATTCGACTTTACATATTCTAAATTGCGAATATGAGGTCTACATGAGGCGGTGCGGTTGCGTAGGGTGGTGGGGCAGGAATTTGGTGCGCATTTACTAGATTCTGATGCTTCGAGATTGGTAATGAATTTGAAGTTGGTGGTTGAGACAATGGTGGAACGTATTTGTAATGGTATCGACGGGTGGGTGTAACGTCAGTAGTCGCACAAGACCTACATTAATGTCTTCCTAGATATTAGTTACTCTCTCTCATTGAAAACAGATAGCATGTGGTGTCTGTTCAAAGTGTACAAGACTCAAAATCCACAGTCTCAAAAAATCAAGCATGGAGACGAAACTGAACAGTGAATGGATGTTGCAATGACGGGTCTTGCCAGCCTCCTTTCCAAGCTCACAACACGCATAGCGGAATTCGCCCTATTTCATAGCGCAATCAAACCAAAAGAATTGCGTGGTCGAACCCAAAAAAAGAAACTTTTCTTTTGGCCGGATGGTTGAGGGCTATGTGGTTCGCTACCAGACTAACTGCCGATGGTAAGTGCAATAATAGCGTGGGAGCGCACACGGGCTCGGCCCGTTTGGTAAACCTTGACAGGGGAAGTGAGCAAAGCCCATTGTGCAGGCCGTGACATAAAGATCCAGAGCTATCATCTCATCTCCTATCTTATACACATGTGTACATGTTTGTATTGCCGTGCAGTTACCCCGATGTGCTTCGGGCATTTGAGCGTACAGCAATAGCCCGAGCAGACCAGTCTCGGCTCGAGATGTACTTCGTGGCACGAGCGAGTGAAACTATTCCGGAAAGATACCCGCTCTGGACCCTTCGGTGCTATTACTTGCATGGGCGGCAGGTACTATGTACTTGTGTACTCACTCGCTCTCATAATGGTTGAAAGCCAGTCACGCCATTCACACTATGACGCAACAATATTGATGTCAGCCACTTCTGTCTCTCGAAAAAGAAAAGTTGTGCCAAAATTGTTCGCGCATCGTGTTTAGCGTGTTGTTCATCGGCTCGTTATGCGTGATCGGCTGATGTCAGCTATGCCCAATGCGCGCGTATCCCCTGAATACATACGCTTGGGGTCTCATGTTGGACGGATTACGAATACAGCCAAAAATCGTATGTCTCTACAGTATGGTCGAGACAATTTTTAATGCACTACAGAATGGGGTACCCTTACGCAGTGTCATGTAGCACGTGAGATGTGAAGGTCACTGTGGAAGTATCCACTTCTGCATGCAAGAAAGAATTAGCATAACAGTTTTTGCAACGCCACACAATAAACTTTAGGAAAATCAGTGATGCGTTAAGAAAGCGCGGTGAGGACCCGTGTGTATGGTAAGTTCCCAGATGAATACCAATGGAAATGTAGTGATAACCACCGATAGTCGATCGATGGATCTTGAACTTCAACAAGTTCTCGAGATCCAGGGATGCTGTGCCAGATGATTACAGTAATTACAACAGTTCGTATAGAATGGGAGGACACGCTCCTTCTGGGGCTTCGCAGGCATGCGATCTTGGTGACGAACCTGCTGTCTATGCGATCACTATCCTTCTTTAGTCCTTTGTAACAAGCTTAAAGACGACAAGCATCATGCAGGTTATTGGGGAGCAAAAAAAGCAGGATTGCGTTCCCCAGCCTTGATGCTGATGTCGGTGGCTGGTGGGCTGTTAGATTGAGGCTTCGTGTATCTCCAATGTATTTTTACCACTGCTCGTCCTATTGGATAATCGGAGTTCAATACGAAGAGTAAAGTGGGTAGGCCTGCTAACCAGGTTATGGGTCTCGCCAAACCTCTTTGTAGCGCATATGGCCCTTGTAGCTGCATAGAAATGCATCGAACCCTGTGAATGTAACGCTTTGACTGTTCGCTATGTAAGGCTGTGGTACCAAAGCTACAGTGCATGCACACGAGGGTGACATGTTGACGTGTACCCGTCCCTGTGTGAGTGTCATAGCTAGATGTTCCTGACAGCGGCTCCCTGCTCGTTTTTCCGTGCAAATTTCCCAGTCTCCTTACTGTGTAGGATGAGTTCTCGTAACTGCAGGTAAGCATTGCGGCGTCGCGCACAACAGACAAAAACTTGTCGACTAGGACATGGCAAAGAAGCTTAATGCAAGCCCACCGAGACGCAAACGCTATCAAGTGCCGGATTTGGGATAGCAGAGCCAAAGGTAGAATAGTGTTCCGGTGCAGTGGAGTAACCAAGTGGATAAGCACGGTGGATCTTCAGGAACTCGGCGTGGTCTTACTCATCATCCTCTGGCCATTGGCGAATCTTGTAGCATGAGCGTTGCCCCTTGAGCTGGATTGGGTGACATCGTTGGGTTTGGGTTCTGACGGCACCTGCAGCCATGTGTCGGCCGAGTATACGCTCCGAAAATGGACTAGCGCGATATTAAAATAGACTTCCGCCGTTGCCAATGCCGTTAGCGTGATCATCGTCGAAAGGTAGGGCTGTATGCTCAACCATGCAACCTTGTTGCTGACGTTACTCTTTGGGATGTGCACACTATCGACTGTCGTATCCCAGCTTCATGGCTCGCGTGCAGAGCATGCCAGCTGCCACTTCACGTGGGAGGAGCAAATACTACCGTTCCGACGTCAGCCCTTAGCCATGCACAGATGTGTTGCGGTATATAACTTTCATCCCATCTCCTCTACCATACCTCACCACTATCGCTCACCTTCGCTTTAATCGTCTTTCCAGACTGACACTCGCTTTAGTGATCATCTCTAGAAACTCTTAATACTTAATTTTTCAATCCCCAAATCCCATACAACAATCACCCAGTAGTAGAGTCAACAAACAAGTCAAGATGCGTTACTCCCTTGTTGCTGCCGCCATTGTCGGCTCAACAATGGCAGCCCCGAAATACTACGAGGCACTCCCATCCGGCTACAGCAGCATTCCCTCTTACCCTGCCTCGCCGCCACCGCCCTATCCCACATCTACTCCATGTGATGAAGAGGCAACGCCCACGCCCACGCCCAGCACCCCAGCTGGCGCAGTCTCGACTCCTGGCTCGAGTGCCCCAGTTTACCCAGCCTCAAGCTTCCCAGTCTACCCGGCGTCGAGCCTCCCTCCCTCTGCGGAGTCGAGTGCCCCAGTTTACCCGGCCTCGAGCTACCCGGCCTATCCAGCTTCGAGCCTTCCTCCCTCTGCGGAGTCAAGCTACCCAGCCTACCCGGCCTCGAGCTACCCGGCCTACCCAGCTTCGAGCTACCCAGCTCAGAACAGCTCGAGCACTCCAGCTGCCGCTATCTCAACTCCCGCCTCAAGCATCCCAGTGGTCTCATCAAGCACCATTGACTGCGACGAGGAATCGAGCACTCCAGCTGGCGCTGTATCCACCCCAGCCTCGAGCGCTCCAGCTTACCCGGCCTCAAGCTACCCAGCCTACCCAGCCTCGAGCCAGCCTGGATATCCAGCCTCTAGCTACCCAGCTTACCCTGCCTCGAGCCAGCCCGTATCTCCTGCCTCGAGTGCCCCAGTCTACCCGGCCTCTAGCTACCCAGCTTACCCAGCTTCGAGCCAGCCTGGATACCCGGCCTCTAGCTACCCAGCTTACCCAGCTTCGAGCCAACCCGTATATCCTGCCTCGAGCTACCCAGCTTACCCAGCTTCGAGCCAACCCGTATATCCTGCCTCGAGCTACCCAGCTTACCCAGCTTCGAGCCAACCCGTATATCCTGCCTCGAGCTACCCAGCTTACCCAGCTTCGAGCCAACCCGTATATCCTGCCTCGAGCTACCCAGCCTACCCAGCCTCGAGCCAACCCGTATATCCTGCCTCGAGCTACCCAGTCTACCCAGCTTCGTCCACGGCAACCCACCCTCAGGACATCACCACGACTTACACCAGTACCAACACAGTCTTTGTGCCATGCTCTACCTCTGTTGGCACTGGTGAGCATTCGTCGGTCATTTACTCCACTTATCTCACGGCTTCATACACGCCTATCATCGTTACCTCCACGATCTATGGATGCGGAGACAAGTGCCCGAAGCCGACCTCAAGTGCCCCATCCTACCCTGCTGTAACTCCTCCATCACCTCAGCAGAACCAGCCTCCATCGCCTCAGCAGAGCCAGCCTCCATCGCCTCAGCAGAGCCAACCTCCTACTTACCCCCAGCAGTACCAGCCTCCTTCTCCTCAGCAGAGCAAGCCTAGCCAGCCCAACCAGCCTGTCTACCCCCAGCAGTATCAGCCTCCTTCGCCTCAGCAGAGCCAGCCTCCTTCTCCTCAGCAGAACCAGCCTTACTGCCCTCCTGCTGGAGTCGTCACGGTAACTGTAACTCAGACCCAGACTGTCACAACGACTGTCACCCCCGATGCCTACGAGTACGAGTACACTCCGGGACCAGTCCCTTACCCTAATGGACCTGCCCCATCTTACCCTGCTGGACCCAAGCCATCTTACCCTGCTGGACCTAAGCCATCTTACCCTGCAGGCGCTCAGTCTTCTCCCTACTACCCTATCCCAAGCAGCACCTCTCAGGGACCTCGCCCTACGGGATACGTACCATCGAGCAGCATGAGCTACCCTGGCTACCCAGCTGCTTCTCCTTACCCCGGAACCGGCTACCCAGCTGCCTCGCCTTCCCCCGCAAACGGCTACCCAGCTGCCTCTCCTTCCCCCGCAAACGGCTACCCAGCTGCCTCGCCTTCTCCTTACCCCGGAACCGGCTACCCAGCTGCCTCGCCTTCTCCTTACCCCGGAACCGGCTATCCAGCTGCCTCGCCCTCTCCTGCCTCTGGAGATGACTACGACGACT